ATGCCATAAAAAAAAGAGGCTAATTTGCTCACTAACAAAAAACAAATAATAATTAGACAACTAACTAAAATAGGGGTATGTGGCATAATTATATACGGGAATAATGTCATTTAAATACCGAACTATCCGATTTGAAGTAAAATAAATACTAACTTGTTAATGAGTCATAAAAATCACAAGCTTGTGTTGACTCGGCCAAATTAGATATACAATTAGTCAACTTTAACTTTTTTTTTAAATCGTTAACTCTTTTTATTGTAACCGTTAAGTCTCAAAACAACGTCGTTTTTAAATTATGAAAAATGGCCATTTAAATACCAAACTCTCCGTTTTACGCCAAAACAAATACCAATTTCTTAATGAGTCATAAAATATACAAACTTATGTTGACTTTGCCAAATTAGGTATAATATTAGTCAACTATAGATCGGAGTCCAAATCCAAAGACATAGAAAGATGAGACCCTCCAAGATTGTGGCGTGAGTAACATAATCACTCTGTTTGGGGTCGTTAGTTTTCTTTCACTTTACCTCAAAGTACTCACGGGATGTTAGATATAATCTCGGATGCGACTAACAATTGCATAATTTATTATGTGTTTTTTATAATAAAAAGGAGATAGCAAGATATTTTATAAGAAAAAAGGATGATCACAATTGTCAGAATTAGTGACCTAGTCTCCCGAAAGGTCATGCTCGGGTATCGCTCTAATGCAGCTATGCCCTAAGGAGCACGTTCGCCTCCGGCTCTACCCCACAAAATGATGAAAACTTCTCAGTAGTCTCAGAGGGGACAAGTCGGTTGACTCAGGCCATAGATCTCCATGAGAGTTCTAATACTAACTCGTCAGGTCTTCAGACTTAGGTTATCGCAATCTTGTGCCCTCCTAGATTTCCAGACTTAGGTTACGACCTTCAAGGATCTCGTGCCCTAACAAGTTGTTGGACTCATGCTAAAACCTTGGAGGGTCTCGTCTCTCCATGTCTCCGGATCCGGGCTCCGATCTACTGTTGACTAATATTATACCTAATTTGGCCAAATCAACATAAGTTTGTGTATTTTATGACTCATTAAAAAGTTAGTATTTGTTTTGGCGCAAAACAGAGAGTTTGATATTTAAATGGCCATTTTTCATAATCTCAAAACGACGTTGTTTTGAGACTTAACGGTTACAATAAACAGAAGAAATATTTTTTAAAAAACTGTTAAAATTGACTAATTGTATATCTAATTTGGCCGAGTCAACACAAGTTTGTGATTTTTATGACTCATTAACAAGTTGGTATTTGTTTTGGCTAAAACCGGATAGTTCGGTATTTAAATGATAGTTTTCTCAATTATATATTCACTAGATTTAGGTTAATTGGTTATGTTTTTAGTTATATATTTTTTTTTTAGTTATTCCACCCAATTTTCCATAAAAAAATTGTTTTTTTTTGTCATCTGTTGTAATATTAAAACCGAGTATAATATAAAGGAAAACCACATAAAAAGCAACAAGACGACTATTTACGTGGACGATACCAGAACTGAAAGTCCATTATTGGAAACTAAACCAACAAAAGACATAAATGTTTCTGGAAGTACAAAGCAGATATGATATAAAACAATCAGGCTAGATACCGCTAAAACGAAGCCAAAGAAAGACACTTGCATAACAATCAGAACGCGTGGGAAGAGCTGCATACGCGGATTAGCTAAGCTCACAAGAAACCGACGAGGTATAGGAAAACCGCGACCAAGATCCAAATACGACGAATAACCATAACAAATCACCACAATCGAGAATCTAAACTTCTAACCACCTAATTTTTACCCCATAAAAGTCTAAATCAAGAACTTTGCGTCCCCACACGAGATTAACCTTACAAGAACTGACTATTGAAAACTAAAAGCGAAAACTGATTATTGGCTACACTAAAAGCGGTGGAAGAGGGCTGAAAGGAAAATTCAACGACAGAAAATAGGCTAAACGAAGAATACCCAACCTCGACAAGCAACTATGGCCACACAAACCAACAATTAGCTAAGTCCACCCAAACTTCTCAGAAGCGTACTAACAATGCAACTACAGAACTAAAACAAGCACAACCTAGCCGCACAACCCAAACGACAGGCTGGTAGAGAAGGCTCACAAGACAAACAATTCGAAGGCACAAACCACGGTGATAGCATAAAATAGGCATAGAAACCCCATCTCACTGGATAGCAAAACCAAAATCAAGAGGAGATCTAAACATGCTTACAAACAAGACGAATTCCGAGACCATCATTCACCCAAAGCTCTGACATCTCTCCGTCCTTTGAATTCGATACCTTTGCCGAACAAGATCTGCAATAGTACAGATCTGACACTGAAGCACGAATCCCTCAAGACGAAACATGAAACCGAACCCATACACACCAACCACTCGATCCCAAGCCTTTGTCGTTCAAAACACCCATCGATCTGCTTCCACCTAAACCAGCAGAGAAACCCTTTCCATCTCCACCACCATCAACAGGGACGCGCACGAACCATAGATCAACTCGAGCACGAAGGAGACAAGACATGGAAGAAGGAACCACCAACGAAAGGTGACCCAAACTCTGACGGTCACCGAATCCGGCGACTCCACCTCCCCAAATCACAAGTCCCGACTGAACTATATACAAGCAAGAAGGAAAGGGGTCCGTGGCCGACTCTAACGGAGCCGCTTGCCACCAGAAAACGAGAACGAGAAAGTTGAGCTCAAGAGAGAAAATCGCCTCTTGCTTCCTGAAAAAATCGGATAACGGTTAAATTTCAATTCAAAATCTATATCCATTATAGTTTTTTTTATCGTTATTTTGTTTTTTATCTATCGCATTATCGTAAAAAAAAAATTGATATAATTCTATTATAAATGATGCTTAATCAATTAAAT